GATGGAATTTGGGAGCAAATGTAAAAAATACAGTGGGAGGAGAGTGCAAAACAGAAAATAGAGAGGGAGTGATAGCTGTGTCCCCGGAGAGGAATAGAGGCATAGGCGTCGACTATAGTAAAGAGACAGATAAAGCCCCATTAACTGCTGCTTCCAGCTGCTTTCTCAGGCTCTGCCACCACATGACTCCCCCTTGATGTTTGTTTATCTTTCTTCTTATTTATGCCCCTAATTGCTGCGTCGCTGCTGTCTAAAACAGGCAATCCTCGTATCATTAAATACACAGGGCCGACATGACTTCACAGAGACAGACTGCATGGAGAATGGACAGAGACACGCACACACAACCAGAAAAGCTTGTATAGCGATACAGACAGACTGACAATTACTTTATCTGTCTACTAGATAATTACCACATACGTGTATGATGTTACTGTACATGGTCTTACATGTACCAACCCCTGTTTCCAAAGGTTTACCTTTATATCCTACTGGATGATTCTGCCTTACATGTCCTGGAGGAAACTGCTGTAATTGCTGCCTGGATTATGTTTATTGGTAACATTTTTCCTGTCCACAATATGCAACTTCTTGTACCATTCAGAAGTCATAGAGAGGTGGTCATGATGAATATTAGCAATACATCACACAGGGCTTTCATATTGGAGAGCAGGTTTCATGCCCTGTATCCTATATCCTGTGTCCTGAGCATGGATAGGTTTTGGTTAAGCTTTTAAGAGTAAAGAGAAAGACCACGTGCATTCTTTAACCTTAACCAAGTGCTTTGAGTTGCCTAAATGCCAGCAATAAAAATACTGATCATGGTGTAGTTTCAACAAATGTATATTGTATTGTAAGGAAAAATAAAGCAGCATTATGTTTTTTCGAAACATATTGCTGGTGCAAATTAGTATATAAATGTAATATTTAGAAGACAAGGTTGCATGTACACAGATGCAGTGGAAAAAGTAAAGATATTTAAAGATTAAGATTTTCTTCATGGTAAAAGAGTAAATATTTTCATTGGTAGTAGAAGAGTTTGCCACTAAAAATTCAAATTTTTCACAAGGAAGTAAAAGGAAGCATCTCATGTATTGGGAGTGATGTGTCTTTAGTCTTATTAATTAAAGCAATGATTCCTCTCAGACCGTGGTTTGGCTACACTGTAAGCTGTTGTGTTTACTGTCCACAGCTGTCGATGCAGTGTCATTTCAAGCAGAACTCTGGCACCGGCAGTTACGATATGTGTTGCCAGTTCAACTATCTCAAATCCTCAGTGATCAGGATTATAACTTTAAAGGCATCCTGTAGAGTTTTATTGTAAACAAACAGGTTGTTTGCATTCAGTGTTTCTCACCTAAAGACATAGTGTGTGTTTCCCTGAGGTCTAACAAACGTGCTGAATGCATTTCCTTCCTCATGAAACATTTGCAAAGCCGATTTTATATTTTAAGTTCAAAACAAGTATTGTTTACATCCATGTCAACTCACAAGCAGTCTTAATCTTCGCTGCCACATGGCTGCCTATCTTGGCCCATTATCAACACCTGTCAGTCAGTAGAATAGTGTGAATCATTTAGCAGGAACTTGTATCACGTCATGTGCATGTGCATCCTCATGCATGTGCACAACACCCACTTATAACACACCAAAACCATGGCGCTTTAGAAACTGAAGAGAGTATGTTTCAGGTAACATAGCCAACAGGCTGATAAACAGAAGTATTGACCCATAATTACACCAGCTAATTAAAACACCACCTTGTGTGTGTGTGGTTTCTAATGTAGACTTGAATGCATTTGCATCCCTTATTTCCTCCTGTGCCTAGACTCACTCTCTCTCTCTTGCCCTGCTTTCTCTTGCCCTTCTTTGTCTTTTCCTCCACTCACCTTCTCTCATTTCATCTCTCTCTCTCTCTCTTTCTGAGTAAATAGACAGGGCTGTGATGGATCCAGCTGTCCCGTCTTAACTTCCTTCAGCTCAGAGCTGCTACTCCCACTTTGATGACTTTGCAGTGAAGGCAGACATCTTGCACATTAACATATGATTGTGCACATGTATTATTTGTGTGTGGAGGGACTGAAGAGAGGGATCGGGAGAAATCCCACAGCAAGCTGTCATCCGAAAGAGAGGGAGCAGAAGAGACACAGCACTTGAAAAGTCGAAGTGTCACATCATTCATGTGGAAGGAGTGCAAGGCTAGAAGTACTCCTGGTCTTCCCGGGCCGTACTATGTGGCAGGAGTCGGAAAAGCCGGTCATAGGGATAAAGTGTCCACAAAGTTTCAACCTGCCAGACTGTGCAACTCAAAATGATGATTAGATTAGCATAGGAGTTAGTAAATATTAAGAAGTCAGCGACATTTCAATGGGGTAAATTCATGGACCCAGATGCATCTACTCATGCAGCCGTTAATGTCAGGATATGTCAGTTGTTCAGCTAATTGACAAGAGGAAGGCCATTTCCTCTAGTGCGCTGCAGCTATTAGGCCTGTAAGGCACAAAATGCACAGCAGTATACCTAGAAAATCACTCTGCTCTTCTGTATTGATTTTAAACTACAACTTTTAGATCCTGCACTCAGCGGCGCTTCCACTTTTGAGATGAGACAGATGAGATTTATCACTGAAGATGCAGGAGATCAGAAGCAGTGATATGTTCAGCGCTGTCAGTCACTCAACGCGGGCATTAGTCACCGTGCCTCTGCTTCTCTGATCTGTTGTCTGTCATCGCCGCTCTCAGATAAATGCATCACAATCACACCAAGTAGCACCACACACACACACACACACCTGTCTCATTTCACAAACGTTCATGCTCTCTCACAAACGCAGACACTATTTTCTCCATGAAAAAGAGATGTTCAATTTCCCTCTCTGCTAAGTGGACAGCTCGTGTCCTTCAGAAAGCATGCAGGAAACAAGGCCTTGTCGGTGGATGGATTCTCCCTGGCACATCCTGTCAGCTTGTCCAGGTGATCAGAGAGAAACGTGGGTAATTTATAGGACTGAGAGCAACAGTGTGATATCAGACACAACTCACCATGATTGACTGTCTCCATTTTTATACTGTGAAGATTACCGGGTGTTTCTTAGTTTCACTCATCGTTATTCTGTATGTAAAATAATGTTGTGAAACTAGGGTTGAGGTTGATAGGCTGACAGCATAAACCAAAAAAAAAAAAAAAATATGATGAGAAAGCGCAGATTAGTGTGAGGAAGGAAGATTGAAATAGTCATCTCTCCAGAATACAGGGGCCATTCTTTGAATATTTGATGCAGACGGATAGCTGTTCACTCCAGTGGAACAAACTGGATTGGAGTCCAGTCGCTCATCTGGAAAAGGCTGTAATTTAAAGTCATAGCTGCCGAGTGTCCTTGAGATCCTCATTTCCTTCCCAGCAGAACTTCAACCTCTGGATCAGCCCACCTGGGCCCTGCCCTCTGCTGAGGTCGTAGTGTGTACACACATACACATACACACAGGTTTATGCATGCAAGCAAGCTCATACAAACACACACACTCAAGACACTTGAATTTCACCGACAGTAATTGTAAACAATACACAGTTGCTCCCAAATGGTAGACTTGAATAGAGCGAGGGTAAATAGATTACCACAATCTTGGACCAACAGTTATTTTGCACTCAACTTTTGGAGTGTGTATAATTTTTTTCAGGTTACACCCTGCTGAATGCTTTACTAGACTCCTGAATTAATTACAAAGAGGAAACAAAAAACAAAAAAACATCCATGTCATTTATTTTTTGTATTAGGATTAAATTATTAAATTGAAAAGATACTACTTCTTATATATTTATTGTATTGATCATAAGAATGTTTATACATCATAATATCATTAAGTAAAAGCAGCAGCTAATTAATTGATTAGTTTTGTTTTGATTACTCTCTTAATTGTTCTATTAATCGTTTCTTCTATACATTGTCAATTAATAGTGAAAAATCACCAATAAGCTTTCTTGCAGCCCAAGGTTACCTTTTTTGAAATTTCTGGTTTTATTCAATCAATTGTCCAAAACCCCACAGATATTTACTTTTCTATCATATATGATAAAGAAAAGCAAAAGATCCTTGAATTTGAAAAAAAATTAGCTTGGAAAATAAGTGCAATAATGAATAGATTATCCAAAGAGTTGCTAATTCATTTTCTCTAATTGATTATTTGACAACAAAACCTTTGTCTTTTGGAAGAGTTTTCACATTTTGTAAAAATGGCTTTTTGTTACTTCACTCAATCAGGCTATAAAGAGTAAAGCTGCTGGTGAAATCAAAAACGCCACAGAATCAGATGAACTGGCAATTGTACAAACTGCACTAGCACACATCAAAATGGAAATGGATGCTGTAGCTTTGCCAGTGACTTCTAAGAGAAAACTGAATTTGAGACAAAAAAAAAATAGGGAACTTAACATGGTAACTGTGATATCTTTCTTTATATAAATGCGTTTTTTAGCCAATTAATCCTGAAGTCATATTCATTTCTGCTTTTGACGACATTTTACTGATGCATGCATAGGTGTCTACACCCATAACACCACACACACCCCACACACACACACACACACACACACACACACACACACACACACACACACGGGTATAAAGAAAGTTTCTTCTGATATTAAGTTTATCTTACTTTTTATTTTTTCTTTGTCATTTGTACAGTTTAATTTACAGAATTTGCTCAGTAAACAACATATTATGTACAATGCACATTTTGTAACATTAATCCTACAGTTCTATTCTTGTTTTTCATCTTTTATCATAATGCAGTTCACCCACAAAAGGTTTATGTTCTGTCTCAGCACCAGACCTTCATTGGTTGATGCTTGCACTTGTCTTTTTAACACTTGACGCTCTTGCAATTAGTGAGTGATTACAATTTTCACATGTTGCCTTATGTGAGACAGACACTATATGCTTCAACACACACACATCTCGCCTCACATGTGTTAAGTGTCTATTTCTATTTCTTTTAAAGGTGCAAGTGTAACCTCCATGCCTCCCAGTGCCTGCTGCAGGATGGGAACCTCCAGTGCCAGTGTGAACACAACACAACAGGCCAGGACTGTCAGCGCTGCAAGAAGGGCTTCAAAGCCAAGTCCTGGAAGGCTGGTTCCTACCTGCCAACACCCAATGGAACCCCCAACACCTGTACGTACCCAGAGCATGTTGATCTGTTCCTACTGTGTTCATCCAGCTCATCAATCTGACTCACACGGTTAGATACAATACTGCTGGCTCCTTTAATATTCACTATGGATGTCCGTCAACTTGCTTTATTCCATTATGACCATTAATTTACCTACATACACACGCATGTCACGGGAGGGGCCTAAAGTGGCCACTGTAATTCCCATGTACACCATGAGTGCCTCCACCCCAACTTAAGTCATGGTAGACACTGTTACAGATTATATCATTATCAGTATCATGTTTGTATGGTAATTTAGAAGCTACAGAAAGCAGCTGGTTAGCTTAGCACAAAGACTGGAAACAGGGTGAAACAGCTAGCCTGCCTTTCTTGAAATATAACCAACCAACACCTTTAATGCTCACTAATTAACATATTGTCTCTCATTACTTCCTGAGATCTCCACAGCAATCTGTCTGTCTGGCAGCTGCTTGGCAAGAAGTGGTCCTGCACATAACAACATCTAAAACACCAAAAATAATTGTTCTTACACTTAAACTAATGAGATATAATGTTAATATGTGAGCTTTAGAGGTGGTAGAAGCTGGATTTTGTTACTGTTTGACAGAGCCAGGCTAGCTGCCCCCCACCCCCAACTTCCAGTCCTTGTACTAAGCAAAGCTAAACAGCTGCTGACTGTAGCTTCATATTTGACTTACTGACATGACAGTGGTATCAGTCTTCTGATTTAACCCTCAGTAAGAAAGCAAATAAGTGTATTTCCCAAAAGGTCCATCTATGCCTTTAAACTGCTTTTAGGATTATTTTTAAAAGGGATTCCTACTTAAAAACAGTCAGCCTTACACTAATTATTTCACAAGATGTCAATACAACACCGACATACTATCACCTTTTGTGGTAAACTTGTCAGCAGACAGTTGCTTACTTGCACATGCAGCAGATGTGGAACAACATCCGTGTTCCTAGCCACCTGATGGTGTCCAATATTCACTCTCCTTTTACCTCTCATTTGGTCTCCAAACAGACAAACTCCCGAGGGAAATATCTGGCTCTTTAGTTGCTAAATGCTCCACTATGTTCACCAGCTAATTGCCAAATTTTCCTGCCTGCTGTTTGATGCTGTGCAGGTAGTGTACAGAGGGGGGGGGGGGGGTTTACAGCTTTTTTCACTGAAACAAATGAAAACTCTGCTGATGACAGCAATCAGAGTGAACCAAAACAGAGCTGTAAAACAAAATGAAGAGCCAACAGATACTAAAACGCTCTGTAGAGTTGAGGGTAACTGCAGAGTTGATGACAGTTCTCCACCATGGGAGCTAACTTAATCAATTGTTCATAGAAAATATATTGATTTGTGTAGCTTGAAGATATTTAATCTAACAAGATCAGTGGTTGCCCCATTAACTGCTTGTCCTCTTATCTTTTTCTAAGCCCAACTCATTTTATATTATCTAAATGTCCTGCTAGCTGTAATTGCTGGTAGTTCAGAGCCACTAATGTTATGCTAGCATGGTGTATTGTTAGCTGATGTTGGATCACCAATAGCTCCACTACAATAGTGTGCAGTGCTCTGTTATATATATCTGCTACATATATATGTAGCTCTGACTACAGGAAAACTTTCATGGTCACTACACAGTAGCAAAGATTGTTCTGAGACATTTACAATGTTATTTCTTTAATTGTTCATCTTCAGTTTAGTCTGTTCTTTTATTCTCCTCTCATTTTTCCTACTGTAAAGATCCGAAGCTGTCCTCTGAAATCAATACAGTTAATTTCATTTTTAATCAGAGGTGATGGATCACGGCATTGTATTTTTGTATAGGTTTTCTCATCACTCTGAGGTCCTGAAAAGCGGGAATAAGGAACAGAGTTGAAATGACAGGAGAAGTTGTGGCAAGTTGATGGAAAGACTGAGGTCTCTGGGTTGTCGTCACCTCAGTGCAGGGAGCAGATCAGAGCTGTGTAACAACGGTGGAGTGCGTGGGGGGAAATCCTCTTGGAGAGTGTAGCCAGCTACAGTAGCTAGCTATGATAAAATAATAATCTAGGGCAGCCCCTCCCTAGTTTTCTCCTTTCAAACAATCATGGACACACTCACAGGCAGAGAGAGACACACACAGAGAGACACAGACACACAGGGGGATACACACTCACACACACCTGTACCTGCACACTCACTGCAGAGAATGGCTCTATTGTCAGCCCTTTTTTTTTTTTTATCATGCTGTTGTTTCCAACCCAGTTCTAATGGTACTGACAGACACCTTCGGAGCCCATGACCACCCTTTTAAACTCCTAAATCCCATTAGCGGAATTTAAAAATTAAAATGTTTGCAACTTTCTCGGTTGAAATGCTACACAAAAATGGCCACGGCTCACGAAACAGTTTGGTCTCTACAGATTGCATTATGCATGCCAAGCTAAGCTAACTATAAATACAATCAGGGAAAATATGCCAGAAAGGCAAAAAGTTTTTGATTCAAGCGTAGTGAAGTGGTAGCGCTCTCTTAAAACATACATATGTGATGAGGGCCTCTGAATGTGAGGGAAGGATTAACAGGTTAAATTAGGAAGGCGGTGCAGCCCCAGTAATTACTCCAGGACATTGAGAGGTGGTCTACAACGAGCCCATATTTTGCAGAACAGCACTTAAGCTCTCTCTGCCACCTGAGTCTGATGAATGAGGTTGAGTCAAGTCTTTAGGCAAATTGAATGCATAAATAAACAAGTTCTCATCTCCTCTTCCTTTTCTTATTCTCTTTCAGGTACAATTGCTGGTTCCTCCTCCGGTTCTAGTAAGTAATAATGCAAAGCAAAGCAGGAGAGGTGGTACTCCACTATCTCTCTCTTCCTGTCTTGTCTCTCTCCCTTTTGATGTTTTCATTGTTTTGGAAATTTAAGTTTTAACCCCATACTTCACCTTCTGTGCGTCCCCTAAACTCCCCCCTCTCTCTCCTGTGATGTTCAGCTGGCTCTCTAGTCAGTCATTTTTCTTTTCCTGTGTCTCTCCTCTCAGTGCTGCAGTTTGGGCCCTGTGTGCTTCATTATTAATAGGCCTCTCTGTCGCCATGTCCTTTCATCACTGCACATAACACTAACCTGCGCAGGAGGAATTTTTCCACAGTTGTGCTCTTTCTTATTTAGACTAAAGACAGTGGTGTTGATGGATTGAAGAAAGGACGGATGAGAGAGGGCTGGGTGAGAATGGGCGGTGGATGGAGCACCAAAGAGAGAGAGAGAGAGAGACAGAGAGAGAGAGAGAAAAGACACAGAAAGATAAAGAAATGGAAGAGAAGGATGTGGGCATATGTTAGTGTGTTGTAATGCAGTGTGATTCCGGGTGAGGAGCTCAGGGAGGCAGGAATAAAAGGGAATTTGATTAGGGATTCTCTCTGTGGAGAGGCTCTCAGCCTCAGAGCTGTTAGACAGAAACGATCGGCAAAGTGGCAACATCAACCCTGACAGCACTGGGCTTTTCTCCACATGGCCCAACAGTAAAAGGCTGATGCATGGATAGACTGAGCAATTGGACTGCACTGCAGAAGTCTGCTTTTTAAAAAGGTCTCCTCTCACAATTAGATACAACAGTGTGGTTATTTGGAACAATAGCGGGTATGATTTATCAAAGAAAAGAATGACGTTTGCCGACGGACTGATTAGGGGTCTAGTGGTTCAGGTTCAGGGTCCTACAGTTTCAGCTTCTGTGCTTTAGTCAAGATTTCTACCTGTGTTGCTGAATAGTCACAATGATAACTTTATCTAAGACATTTACTGTTCCTGAAGCTGAAGATGAGACAGAGGGTGAAGCTGATGGTGAATCACAGGGTGAAGCTGAAGGTGGAGGTGGACACGAGGGCCAACCACAGAGCACCTCAACTATCTCAGAAGCTGAAGGGTCTCCAGCTGATACCCATGAGCCATTTGGAGCCCCTCAGGCAGGTGCGGAAAAGTAGCTTAAACAGAGCCAGAAGTAGAACGTAACAAACTAGATTTAATCAATACTGCATCACCTTTTTACCCCGCTACAGTAGAGTTATTTGACAGCAGGGCTGGGCGATAAAATGATCTCTACCACAAAAACATTACCACAACAACAATGATAATCTGATGGGTAATTTTCGATAAATGTATCTGTTATGTATTTAGCTCAACCCTCATCTACACAATCTTTATTAGGCTACAGCAGTAGGCGTTAAGGGATCAATCCAATCAAGGAAAAAAACAAATGTCATTGGAAACATAAAAAAGGACGTCCTCACAATACGAGGAAATTATGGCAAAGAAAGTTCAACACAACATCAGTGATTTCTTAATGGTTTGGATTTCTGAAGCTGGATAAACGGAGGAAACACAGCAAACCTTTTCCACCATTGGAAAAGGTAAGGTTACCATCTAGCCGAGTACACAGAAAGCCAAAGTCTGCCGTGCCAAACTGCGAACTCAAGCAGTCAGGCTCGATAACAAACCTCCATATCACCCAGCCCTGTTTGACAGTTGTAGTTACTAGTTACTTTGTAGATTAAAATTTTACATAGTGCACACACTGCACTCATTTTTGTCCTGAAAGTGAAAACATCTGTCAGTGTAGTGACATGATTTCAACAGAAGCCAACTGGTTTCATTAATTTTGTAGAATATGGTGTAATTTCTCCTTATCCTGTCTTCCTTCATGATTCTCACTTATTTCTAGAAAATTCCTTTAAAAGGAATAGTTTGACATTTTGGAAAATATGCTTGTTCGTTTTCTGGTGGAGTTAGATGAGACAATCTATACTACTCTCATGTATGCCCATTAAATACAAAGTTGCAGTCAGCAGCTGTCTTTAGCTCAGCTGAGCACAAACTAAGTGCGCTAAGATAAGCAGTTCTGTTACCACTGGACAGGGAGTTAGGCTAATTTGCCAGCTTTATGCTAAGCTAGGCTACTCAGGCGCTGGATGCAACCTTATATTTAACAGACAGACATGTGAGTGGTATCGATCTCTTCATTCAACTCTTGGCAAGAAAAGTGAATAAGCATATTTCCAAATATGTTGATCCATTAATTTAAACTAGTTTATTTAACTAGGATACAGGTTGAAATAGTAATGATAATACAGCACATAGACAGCAGTATTATTTTGCTGATGATGCTTTGATATACTTTCCATTAGGACTTTTATTTAGGCTTCACTTTTTTTTTTGACACTTTGTTATTTAAACTGAGTAAAGGATCTGAATTCTTCTACCACTGGCCACAGCTGAACAGATGACACAGCAACACCGTAGTGGAGCCTTACTGTGCACCTGTGACAAATCAAATGTGTGAGCCTGTGGATGTGCTTATGGACACTGACTGTGTTTTTGTCTGTGTATACATCGTACATAATTCATTCTGTGACTTCCTGGAGGTCTTACAATGTACATGGGCCGTTTCCCTGACTGTGTATCTCCCTGATGTTAAAGTCAGATGGGGGTTGTCCCATCTTGAGAGTGAAGGACTCAAACTATATGGACATTCAGTCTTTATTTGTTCTGACTGACTGATTTTAAGCAACCCGGGCAAGGATGTGAGCAGATTCTGTCAGCCGCTTGAATGTACAGTAAAGTGGTCCTCAAACTCCGGCTTGCCCTGATGCTAAATTTAAACCTGCCATCTTGGTAGGCAGCGGACCTCTCATGTTCCACCAGGAAAGCACTTAGGACGTGGGAGGATTTTGGTACTGCTGTGTTGTCGTCAAAGTTTTTTTATTATTTCTTTCGGCTGAAGGAAATCCATTAAGAGCGTATGCTGAACAGCACAGCACTTTTGACTTTTGTTGTTTGGCTGACATCAGTAGGGGACTCAAAGAATTCACTGATTAGCTGTGATTTAGGAGGGACGGACAGAAGGATTAACGTTGCATAAACAGACTTACAGTCCTTTGTGAGCTTTTTAAAGCCCGCTGTGAAGGACCCAAACATCGCAGAACATCACATGTAGACTTCTTTATGTCTACAGTTGTGTGATCATTTAAATTCCTCTGTACATTCATAATCATGCTGAAACTAACTGTGGCTCCATCTGTAACGACAGACCCGATATTTAGTCAACTTCAGTTAAAATCATTTTTTTAAAGCAAAAATATCAAATATTTGCTATTAATAGCTTCGAAAATATGAGAGTTTGATCTTTTTCCTTTTTCAAATCAATAATGGAAGCTCCAAACTATTTTAAAAAAGTAAGAATAACTGGGAAAAAAAGTGACTTTTAGACTATGGAGGATTATTATTTGATTATCAGAATTGTTGGTGATTAATGGATTTATCAAATAATCATTGCAGCTTTAATCCATAATGTCATGTTTGAGGTGTTATTTACTTGAAAGCTGTAGTTTATTCTTGTTTGGGGAGAAACATTCACCACCTTCAATTTATAAAATCAAAAAACGTACAGTTACTTCACTTATTTTGCATTGTATAGAATTAAAAGTCAGTACAGACTAACAACAGCTCATTGCACGCCTGGGACACTAAAAGAAAGATCAGTTGTATTTGTGCCTTTTTTTATCTCATGGTTTAGGGAACTGTATTTGGCTTGAACCTGACCCTGATGTGAGAAAACCCTTGTTATCTGCGTATATATATATATATGTGTGTGTGTGTGTGTGTGTGTGTGTGTGTGTACACATGTGTGTATGTGTAGATTTATGGCAGACATATGGTGCACTTCAGTGAAACCCATAAATCATCTTCATCCCCTCCTTTTCCTCTCGGGGATCTAAGGTCTTAGGTTCCAGTCTCACAGAGCGGCCCGCCACTACTGTTTGTACACGCACACACTGACACACACACGCACAACACACACAGATATGCTCACAGGTTTTATCATATAATGTGGCTGAAGGTCCTGTGACATGAATAACCAGATCATATTATAATATTAGTTATCTGGAATAATACAACCTGGAACCTCAGTTTTCTTCTCCGACTCTCAACTGCTTTCAAAGAAGCAGTCAAAGCTTGTAAGTTATTTTAAAATATTAGAAGCAGCAATACAGTAAAATTAGAAAAAGTTGACTTAATCTTTGAACTGTGTAGAAGAGAGTTAAAGCAACCTGGGGTATTATTTTTCAGTTTTTCATCCGAATAAAAGTTGGTTATATAAATCATATTTTCAGTACCTTTTCCAGGAATATGAAAATGCAAATCCAAGCTTAGATTTTTATTGTGTGATTTCACTTTAAAATCAATGATAAGTTTGACTGTAGCCTGTGCTGCCCAAGCAGATGCATCTCTATAAACATTACAGCATACTTATTGGTTGGACAGCATGTCATAGTAGTTGTCATGTCCCTGCCCCAGTTAAGTCAGTGAGCATGCTCAGATGAGGATTAGCGATCTATTGGCAAGAGTCTGATCCACAGAGCCCGCAGCCCATTGGTCAGCTGCATGGATGGGCGTTTGGCAAGGGGGGAGGGGAGGTCAGAGAAACCAAATCCTAAAACCCCGTCATACATCTACCTATCAAGCCACCGTGACCCCACATGACCCTACTTCATCTTTTAATTCAAAGTCAGATCCCAGGGCTGCAGAGGAGCCTGAGTGCAGTTCTAGCAGATGCATACAGTCACACACTCAAACATACATGCAAAAGGACAAGTGTATACAAACTTATACACACTGGTGATGTAATAGACTGGATAACCAACCATCCTATCTGTGCACCACCATTATCTCACTCCCATCTATTGAAATCCTTGCATTTTGATAAAGGTTGAACTTGGCCTCAGACAGACGGAGATTGGATCATGTCTGGAAAATCATGTGACATATT